ATTTTTTGCATTTTTTATTTAATACAATTTATTATGCTTTAAAGAAAAAATGCTAATTTAACTTTTTACACAAATATTCTATGTTATACTATATTTTGTTCTCTTTTTATTTTTTATTTTATTTTTCTATTTATTGAATTTTAAGTAAAAAATAAGACATTTTAATATAAAAAAAATATTAATTTTCTCTTATTTGCCTTATATTATAAATAGAATATTATAAATCTATATTTGATCTATATTTAATTATATGGATATTTACTCCAAACTTAATAAAATTTAAGATCAGTGAATGAGTCAAATATTCTCAAAAGTCGAATTTGTCAGAAATATTTATTTGTTAAAGTTAGACTTACTTAATTAGCTTGTCTAAGTTACCGAACACCATTTCAGCCTGTTGATAATGAAAATCCTCTCCCATGGTGATAATAATGTGATTAGTTTTGTAGGTAAGTGCTTGAATCTTCGCATATCTCACGAACAGGTCCACCTGCCAATCGCGCATAATTTTTACTTACCGTGTCACGAAGACGGCATTTCATCGCTCGCGATGTTGTAAAAACCATTTCTGCCCTTCAGTTCTTTTTGTCTACTAGCGATGTCGTCCTTTGCGAAGCAACAATATTGCTTTTTTTGCAAGCTCGTAAGCGTCGGACATATTTCGAAAAGCGTGAATTATAAAATTTAAATTTTTGGTGTTTAATACCTTATCAGCTTGTCCAGATTCGTGAAGTACATTTCCGCGTGCTGATAAGTGAAATCTCCTCCCATTGTCATTATGACATGATTTGTGCGGAAATAACTACGTTGCGTAACCGCGTATCTCAGAAAATCATCGATCTGGCACAGAAACACATCGCGTAGATTATGATTCTAGCACAAAACGAATATGTCCTAAACTATTTGAGCAATTTGACCGTTAGTTAATAATTACAAGTTTTCAGAATTTATTATTATGCTTTAATAAGATATGTTATCTTTTACGCATGTTATTTTTTGCTAATAAGAAAATCTCACTAAAACAAAAATTTTGATTTTTAATTAAACTTTTATATATAGTTAAATCTTCCAGATAAATTTGAAAATTTATAGTTGTCAAAATTTTTACAATCGATATTATTTCTCTCAGACTAAGAAATAAATATCCCTTTTATATTAAATATATAGATAGTACTTAGATAAATATAATCTTTCTCAGCCTTTCTATCGTTTAAGTTGTTTTATTAAAATTAAAATTTCCAGATGATAGAGATTTTCTATTAAATATTTATATTACTTTTGGTGATTGTATTACTTTTTTCTGTTAATAATTTTATTATCTTGTTAATAATAATTAGAAATAAATTAATTGGCAGAAAGCGTCGGATAAGCTCTATTCGTTAATTTACGCTTGAGACGACCTCGTTAGTTTATCGTTAGGGTCCTCTATGTCAATAACTACCACATTCCGCGATGTTATTACATTACATACCCTACTGTCGATGTTGTAGTCGGGGCTATCGGGATCATCGACCATTGGTTCGTCAGCGCATAAAACGTCGAAGCAAAATCCTGGTGGTGGACTGTAATTGTTGAACATCGCGACTGTGAATAAGTTCGCTCGCTTGCCTGAAAATAATAATAAATATGTATAATTTTATCCATTGTGCAATATATATCTCTTTTATCTATAAGAAAATCCAGTTTCTAAATATATGCAAAATTTAGAATTGATTTCTTTCCTTAGCAAAAACGTCAAAAGAAAAGTCATTATTTATTAAGACTTTTAAATTTTTGCTGAGAACTTTGTAAGATTTAAATAAAGATTTTGTTAAAGTATATTCCTCGTACAATATATAAATAATATTCTATTGTCATATTACTAATTATTAGCAATATTATGAATTTGCGTTAATTATCTAAGAAATATTGATAACTCAACGATTTTACAGAAGAAAACTTAATTCTTAGAAAAATTCTTAGAAAAATTGTTATAAATGTATTCAGTGTTAGATATACATGTGTTATATGTAATGTGCACATTGTATCTTTCTTTCTTCTGTAATTATAGTAATAATTACTAGTTACATTAGTTTACAAATTTTTATTTTGTTTTTGTTCAATCAATAAAAATCATAAATTTAAAAAAAAAATGGGTTTACACAGCATACATTTGAAGGAAAAAAATATCCATTACATCTTACTCAATTTTTTTCAAAAAAGTATAAAATAAGTGTCATATTAAAGAATAAATTAAAAAATACAAGTATTTTAATTTAATATTTTAATTCAATATTTAAAACATCTTGCTATATTGACAATACAAATGAATTATATGACTATATGATTATGTGACTATATAAAGAAAGCAACGAAAGCTTATAACTGTTACGGAGGCTCGTTATCAAGGATAGTGAGACGAAAACATAATGAATGATTATTGCTAGTTTCTTCTAAGAAAAATAGACCCAGCACATTTGTGATATCTCTTTTAAATTATAAATATAGTTATTGCAAATATTTATTCTTTAACTTTTATGCTGTTACTTCTTTTCTTAAAATTTTGGCACTTATTATTTATTGCAAAACTTTGAATTACGATAGAGGCATATTTAGATGTGTAGGAATTTTTTGGTTGTTAATTCATATTCAGAGTAATAAAAACAACATAATAGGTAACAGTTTTTGATCATGAGCAAAAATGCTGTAAATTAGTGTTATTAGTCCTCGCCTTTATCAAAGATACTTTTTTACCTAAATTTGGACTGCTCTTCCAAATAAATTCCATCTCTTTGTCTTGTAATCTCTTATTCTTATCTTGATAATCAAGACGACCAAATAGCATTCCATCGAATCCCATTTGCGAGAATAAAGAAGCCTGTTCTCTGGAATGGCCGAATGGGTCTATTTGCCATCCAATGCGCGGTCTGGCACAGCTTCCGAACGTGTCGTCGAGTCGCCTACAGATCAAAGATCAGTAACATATAAATTATGATTTTAGATAAGAACTTATACGAAATGTGTCTAGAAGACAAAATGCTGTATTATATTCACATGTGATATAGATTTAATTAAGCCAACATTCGTAAAAATAAATATATTTTTTACTTCGAGAATATTTATAGAAAAGTATTTAAATTACATCTCGTGTTTTATACATACGCGAAATCATCAGATGCATGTAGACGAGTGAGAAGAGTTTTATAAATTAATCAGTTGTACTCAGTTTTGAGGTTTTTCTCACTCTGATGTGTCTACCATATCAAACACATATGTACCTGAATCCCCATGTAAATTGATCCACTAATGAATGATAGTGAGTACAAGCTTCGTCGTTCATGCTCCATGCTCCCCCGATAATTTCCAGTCGCCCTTCGGCGATTAGGGTTCTCACGTCAGCACGTACCAAGTCATTTTGTCGTAACCACCATTTCCAGAGGAAAGCGGTCTCCACCCAAATAAATCTGCGAAAGTAATTGAATAATATAAAATTTATGCTGTATATAATATGTTTGAGTAATGTAAAATTTATATTGGTTGAAATTCTTTTTAACAGTAAAATTGATAAGATACTTACTAAGTATTAACGTTACACTTATCATAAAATAAAATTATCTGTATGTTATATCTACTTATCTATGATAATGTGCTTTGAATGTATTCGTGCGAATCTTTATCGCATGCTTATGTCAGAGACGTTATACTTGAGATAATCACCTTCTAGTTGGGTCAGCTAACAGTGCTTTAATGACACTGTCAAGAATGTACTGCACACCGGCCTTTTGGATTGTAGAACGACCTCAAGAATAAAAAATTTTTATTACAAATTTATAAGATAATGAAATATAAAAATGTGAATTTATAGTAATAAAATATCATATAATATTCAAAAATAGAGAAAAATAATCTTTATTCTCAGCAGAAGAATGTTACAATCATGTAATAATAATATAATTGTATAAAGTCTGTAAGAAGCATTTAAGGAGCTTTTAAGCTTTTATATTATAGATATTATATTATATTATAATATATATATATATATATATATATATATATATATATATATATATATA